GGAAGGGAGTGAGGAGTATTGATGAGGGGGGAGAGAGAGGGGGAAGGAGGTGAAGAGTATTGATGAGGGGGGAGAGAGAGGGGAAGGGAGTGAGGAGTATTGATGAGGGGGAAGGGGGTGAGGAGTATTGATGAGGGGGTAGAGAGAGGGGGAAGGGGGTGAGGAGGTACAGAGAGGGGGAAGGGGGTGAGGATTATTGATGGGGGGGAGAGAGGGGGGAAGGGAGTGAGGAGTATTGATGGGGGGGGAGAGAGGGGGGAAGGGAGTGAGGAGTATTGATGTGGGGGGAGAGAGGGGGGAATATTGATCAGAGGGGGTAGGGAGTAAGGAGTATTGATGAGGAGGGTGATATTGCAGTGCACTTTATGTCTGGATCAGATTAGTTGCATTTGGAAAAGTGTATGTTGCTGTGTGCACACAGTCGAAGAAAAAAAAATGGAGCAAATTTACATTTAAAACTGTTTCCGAAAAGGATAGTGTTTTTCCAGTATTTGCTTTCTTCTTGTGAACTGCTGACAGACATTAGATTAATAAGGAACATTGAACCATGTAAGAGAAATTCCGATTCGTCGGAAGTTGAATAAAAGGCACTCACCAAGATACTTTTTCATCATAGATAATCTGGGGAGAAATGAAAAGATGAATATTTAATTCGTATAAGAGTTATGCTATTCGGTGTTGATTCAATTTCAAGTAGAGAATTAATTGCTGACAAAAATAACAAAGGCTTGAGCAACATTAATTAGTGAATAACTAAAGGGACGGACCACATCTAATCTTTCTGGTGCGGTCAGGTCTTTTCAGTTCACTGCTGCTATTAGATTATGTCGGTTGGTGTACTGTGTTCATACGTAGAGAGTGTAGCTTAATCACCTATGTTCATATGTAGAACGCATAGGCTGGGGGCCAACTTTCATATGTAGAGCATGTGTAGGTTATTCCCCCGTGTTCATATGTAGAGTGTGTGTAGGTTATTCCCCCGTGTTCATATGTAGAGTGTGTGTAGCTTATTCTCTGGTGTTCCTATGTAGAGCGTGTCTTGGTCACTTGCATTTTAAAGTCATGCCAGCATCAAGAGATCTTAGCTGGTAATTCCTAACATGCGTCTTGTGGGGTCACAAATGTTGTGACCAATGATTCATGGTATGCTGCTGTAGTTTGTGTGTAATTGAATCATACAACCTACACTGGGATCAATGCATTTTATTGCCCCAACAGCCAGGTAGCAGTGGGACTACCGGAGTAAGTGATTTCTGATGTGTATCAGCTTTACCAGCAGTTAGAAAAATGCAGATTCGTGTAGAGATACACCAGTCACTTGGCTGACTCATTTATTTACTAATTTGCGATGTATCTGTTCTCATTCTCCTCTGATGTCCGTGCACACAAGAATTTCCCTCCACAGGACATTGCCTGTCCACGTCCTGCTGATGACCTTGGCTGACAGAAATGTGCATTAACCTCAGAGTCATAAAGTTTTTGGTTCAATCCCCACTCCAGAATCTTCAGCTCAAAGGCTAGGCGGGATAACCCCAAGCAGTTCTAAAGGAGAGCTGCAATCCGAGGTGCTGTATTTTACACCAGATGCTAAACTGAGGACCCCTTCACCCTCTTATTAAAGTCTCATGTCATTCTTTCAAAGAAGGGCAAGGCTATTCTCCCAGGTGCCCTGCCCTACCTCTACCCCTCGAACAACATCACCAAAACAGATCATTTGGCCGCAATGTCACTGCTCTTTGTGGGATCTCACTGTGCTTCCAACAGGGTAAAGAACACACTTCATTGGCAATTAAATATTTTGGGATAGGCTGAGGGTGTGAAGGCCACTACATAAATGCAAAATCCATGTTTTGATTTGTGGATATTTGACCGTAGCAGATCATGGAGCTCATACTGAATGTTGCCTCTCCACAATCATAGGGCCTTTAAGTTGGGACGGTGGCTCAGTGGTTAGCACTGCTACCTCACAGCACCAGGGATCTGGGTTCAATTCCAGCCTCAGGTGACTGTCTGTGTGGAGTCTGCATATTCTCTCCGTGTCTGTGTGGGTTTCCTCCGGGTGCTCCGGTTTCCTCCTGCAGTCCAAAGATGTGCAGATTAGGTGGATTGGCCATGCTAAATTGCACTGTAATGTGCAGGGATAGGGTAGGGCCATGGAATGTTCTTCAGGGGGTCAGTGTGGTCTTGATGGGCTGAATAGCCTCCTTCCGCACTGCAGGGATTATTTGATTCTAGCCTCATTATAACTAGCAACAAGGGCCAGGTCAAACAAATGAGTGGTCACAATTAACTGTTGGAATTGATTTTTCTCTCATTCCATTAGCTGCTTTCCTGGTTTAACCATTGCAATTCAAAATTCAAAGTGATAATTTAACATTATCATTGACAAACCTTCACTTGTCAATTTCTTTTATTTTTACGCATTCATAGGGATGAGAGCATCACTGCCTGGGCCAGCATTTATTGCCTGTCTCTAGTTGCCCTTGGGAAGGTGGTAGTGAGCTGTTCCTGAACCACTGCAGTCCATGTGCTGTAGGTAGATCAACAATGCCGTAAGGGAGGGAATTTCAGGATTGTGACTTGGTGACCGTGAAGGAACAGCGATGTATTTCCAAGTCAGGATGGTGAGCGGCTTGGAGGGAAACTTGAAGGTGGCGGTGTTCCCATGTATCTGCTGCCCTCGTCCTTCTAGAAGGAAGTGGTCGTGGGTTTGGAATGTGCTCTCCTAGGGCTTTTGGTAAGTTTCTGCACTGCATCTTGTAGATGGTACACACTGCTGCTACCGGGTATCAGTGGTGGAGACGGTGGATGTGGTGCCAATCAAGTGGGTGGCTTTGTCCTGAATGGTGTCAAACTTCTTGAATGTGGTTGGAGCTGCACTCAACCAGGCAAGTTAGGCATATTCCATCTCAATCCTCTCTTGTGTCTTGTAGATGGTGGGCAGGTTGTTCTTTTTGGAAGGGAGTGGAGGGAGGCGAGTTATCCACTGTAGTCCAATGCATGTATATTTCAGGTGCTGCCAGATGTGATTTTCTCCAGCACTTTCTGATTTTATTTCAGATTTACAGCATCTGCTGTATTTTGATTTTATTTGAGGGCAAACAGCATCTTGGTCTTTACCGCAAGTACTTGAATACAAAGAGCTCCTGCCACAATTGTGCCAAGCTTTGATGGGACTACATCTGGAGTACTGTGCGCAGTTTTGGTCTTCATGTCTATTGAAGGATTTACTTAACTGTGGAGATGGGACACTGAAAGTTCACTAGCTTGGTTCCTGATGCAGTAAGGCTGCCCAATGCTGAGTAAATTGGGCCAGCGCTCGCTAGAATTTTCAAGGTGATCTGATCGAAATGGACAAAATTCTGAAGGCTAGGCTGGACACTGAGCCGTTGTTTCGGGAACAGCTGGGGAATCTGGAACACAGAGGGACAAGGCTCAGGATACACAATCGAGGATTGAGATGGGGGAAGATTTCCTCACGCAGACAGAATGTGAATCTCTGGTGTTCTACATCGCAGAGAGCTGTGAATGCTATATGATGGAATATATTCAAGAATAAGATGAAGAGGTGTTTGGTCTCTCAAGGAATCATGGGGACACACAGTGAACAGGAATGCGTTAAGTCTGGAGGTCAGCCATTTTGTCTTGGAGCAGGCTTGAGAGGCTGTACAACTTACACCATTTTCCACATTCTTAACTACAGACAGAAGAAGTTAACGCCACAAATTTAGTAGCATCTACTCTATGACATCCTAAAAAAATGAAGAATTATACCAGGGGCTCAGGGGATTAAATGACAAGGACAGAGGGTGCAAGCATGGCTTGTACTTTCTTGACCATAAGAACATCGAGAGGTTTAGAACATGGCAGTATGTCTCAAAAAAAATACTATTTCTTCTGGTGGGGGAAATCAAGAATTAGGAAAATAACGCTTAATTCTGACACTAGGTCATTCAAGGGTAAACATAGGAAGCACATCTTCACACAAAACACACTGGATATTCAGAATTCTCTCCCACAAAAGGCTTTGAATCCTGGGGGTCAATCTGGGCCAGCAAGACTGGGATCAACAGATTTTCGGGAAGTTGACAATATCAAGAGTTATGGAGCAAAGTAGAGTAAATGGAGTTGATGTGTAGATCAGCTATGATCTAAGTGAGTGATGTAGTAGCCTAGATGGAGTGAACGGCCTCCCCCTGTATTTATGTACTTTTATGAGGACCTCAAATGTGTTTTCAGTTGAAGGCGCATGATTTTCACTATGCCCCTCATGAAAAGCTGGACTTATTTTGCTGGTTAAGGCATTAATGCACTAATTTTTCCTTAATGTCAGTTGGTCGTGTATTTCTATTCTTCAGTGCTGAAAGCATGATTAAAATGCAGCATGTTCACCTGTATAAGTCAGTTGAGAAACTGTCAGTCATTCTTGTGTTGAGACTGATCTGCAATAGTGCAGTCAAGATTGAAATCTGACAAAATGAACAAGCCCCTTGTTTCCAGCAACAAACAGGACGATCTCATAAATCTTGCAGACGTGAAGAACAGCCACCAGATGGCAGTCAAACTTCAACCATTCCAGGGTGCAGTCAACAAAGTCGAGCTTTTCATCCTTTCAGTTCCTGTGTTTTTCGTAGACCTTTGAATGGGTTTGGCAGATGCTAATAGAAGGGCGAGAGATCAAAGTTTCCGAGTTCCCTATTTCCCCAACCTTGCCTTAGGTGATCTGTTGTCAAAACCTTCAGCCATACCTTTGCATTTTTCACGCTTGACTTCCAATTGAGGCATTCCCAATTAACACTGCATTTGAAAAATGCTGCAGTCTGTATTGTAGCGCACATGAAGTCCTATTTATTACATTCCCCACTGTGCTCACTGAACAACACTGGGTGCCAAATTGGTAGCAGCTCCATTTTAAAATTCGCGTTCCTTTTTTTTCAAAAGCCTCCCATATCCCTGTAATGTCCTCCAGCCCCACAATCCTCAACCCCAGTTCTAGCTCAGGGACATCTCTCACTTGAATCGCTCCTGCACTGGTTGTCTTGCCTTCAGTTGTCCAGGTCCTGAGCTCTGGCGTTACCTCCCTCAACCTCACTGTCTCCACCTCACTTTCCTCATTTAAGACACTGGGTCTAGGCCCGAAACGTCAGCCTTTCTGCTCCTATGATGCTGCTTGGCCTGCTGTGTTCATCCAGCTCTGCACCTTGTTATCTCAAAACTTGCCCTGTTGGTCAAGCATTCATGTTGTAAAACTGTCTTGCCAATCTATGCCATAGGAATATGAACTTCGGAAATACTGGGTAAAAGAGGTTTATCTAGTTTGTCTACCATTATCCTGGCACTCATTATTTATTCACTGTGTGATGTGGGTGTTGCTGGCTGGCCAGCATTTCTTGCCCATTCCTGGTGGCCCTTGAGAAGGTGGTGGTGAGCTGCCTTCTTGAACCGCTGCAGTCCACATGCTGTTTGGTTGACTCACAATGCCATGAGGGAGGGAATTCCAGGATTTTGACCCACTGGCAGTGAAGGAATGGCGATATATTTCTAAGTCAGGATGGCGAGCGGCTTGGAGGAGAACTTGCAAATGGTGGTATTCCCATGGATCTGCTGCCCTTGTCCTTCCA